CAAAAAAATTCAGAACCATTTTGTGAGGTAGCACACCCAATCTGACCCCACCAAAAGCTTAACTGCAGTTAAGACCCGAGGTAAGTTCCAAGAATTTTAACATGGAGTAATCGGCAGGGTTTAATTTTGATTTTAATTTGCTTGTACTAAATATGAGAAATTACTATTACTCCCTTCGAGCTGTAATCTCCGTTTTCCAATAAGCATAAACTGCAGTTAAGACTTGGTGAAAAGGTATACTATAAGATAGTTCCAGCGCACTCATTCACTTGGAACGCTCTCATCTCAGCATGGTTGTGAGAATCATTACTGAGCATTGTGTTATAGGAATACACGCCAGTTGTGTGGACTTTCCAGCGAACGTCTTTTATCGAAGTTGTCAAGACGAAAAGGAAATCGCAGCCGTCAAGTAAACTCTTCTTTTGCCATTGTCCGGTATTTTCGAGATTTATGCGGTGTAATTTTCACCAACAAATTACAATTTGTATCGCTTTGTAAGAAAAACTAACTAACTAACTATCACTTGGAAAACGTTCGTCAAATAGTCAAAGCTGTACCACAATGGAACCTTCGAGTGAAAGTAGCCACTACAACCTAATCCAGTTTAATATGGTACCTCGGGAACTCTCAGCGTGAAATTATGGATTTTTCTTAAATCTTAGCATCGCTGGAATTTTTTTCTGATAAATCCTATATGTCTATATACATAGTTGCATTGGCTGTGTTGTATCTCATAAATTTTTCCTGTTATTCTGGGACTTAAGGCCTTCCAGTTGCAACGTATTGAATTTCATGGTAATGTTTGATTTCGTTTTAAATTTTTTTGTGAGTGAAATTTGCACAAAAATGTTCCGCATCAGAAAAAAGGTATTTGTTCGCTGCAGAAATCTTCTCAATTTCATCTACATATATTTGGCTCCAGCTATATAAAAACTTATTTCCCCAGATGTGCCACACAATTGTGGCATTTTCTGCTGATTACTTAAAAATACTCATTTGCTCATGGCAATAGTTTTCGTGTTTCTTTCAAAGTTAATTATTTATGTTTTATTTAATTCATTTGATTACATCATTCAGCGAGTGAGCGAGTAACTAGAATAATCAAATAACCGACAGCAAAGGCAGAGCCAGTCAGCCAGTATGTATTGCAACAGTAATTCGAAGCGGAAGCGAAACTCCCGAGTTGCAAGTTGCCAAGAAAAATGATGCATTCGCTGTTTTGGGTTTTCTATGCATTTTGATTTTATTTTATTTTGCTTTTAATTTTGCTCGACTTCATTCTTTTTTCTGTATGTATGTACATTAGGGTGGTCCAAAAACGCATGGGGTCGCCCAAAACCAACCAAATAAACAGTTGGGTATTATTATTAAAAGTATCCTGAAGAGAACCAGGGTTTTCCGATCGAAAAATATTAATTTTCAGAATTCTATACCATTTCTACGAAAAATTTTATTTTTCCCATATAAAAATACATGGAAAACTTTGAGCGCTTTGGGCGACCTCTAAATATTTTTTGATTTCGAAATAAAAAATTGCGGTGTACTTTTTTTCGATATGGAACAATCCTAGGAGGTGGTGAGAGCATTACAATTCCGACTTTACTGTTTTTGGACCACTCGAATGTACATTCTTATCTTTCCTCGCTACTGGATTCGCTTCGTTGCCTGAAATCTCATAAAACCATGAAATTAACTGCAGTTTCCGTTCGAGTAGCAACAACTGCTAGAAAAATCGCAGCAGTTGTCCAACCAACACAACAACAACAACAATAACAGCAGTATGCTATGCGGTGACCAGCGCACCGCAAGTGTTGTAGGGTGGTGGTGATGGTGGTGTTAATGTAATGATGATGATGATGTGCCGTCGCGCTGCTTGTGTTGTCAGCATTGCCCGGTACGGTGTTGCCTTTCTTCGCTGCCTTTCTGCTGCTGCTGCCGCTGCTATTCCCGCTGGTGAAAATGTTGTTGATGGTGGCGCTGTTGATGATTGTTGCTCGCACGCTTTACTTTGCTAATGCGAATGCGAGTGCGAATGGTGTTTGCTTGGCAGGCGAAGCGCGAGTAGCGCGTTCTTAAGAAAATCTGACTTTAAGAAAATTACCAAATGCACCTGCTGCACAACAAACACTGCATTTCTACGCTTCGCTGATCGCCTGATTTTGCAAGCATAATGCGACTGGCCACTAAATACGTACATACATACATACGTACATATGTAGTCGCTACACGGTTGGTCCGTCCGTTGCGCGATACCTCTGTTCGGGCTATTTGTTCTTTTCACTTAGATTGAGTGCTGCTGCTTTTGGTTGTTATTGTTGTTCTTCCACTTGTAAATGGCATTATTTTGCGGCACTATCAGCTTACCATCTTATTGTTGCTGTTTATATGGACTATTTTTTAGTAAGTATTATGAGTGTTTACGTTGTTTGTAGCAGGTATTTTTTTGTTGTTGTTGTTATTGCATTTGCTTCGCAACAATTAAATGCAATAAGCACATTAGCCCGATTTGTAATGGTTGTTGGCTCTTGAATGCTTGCTATTCGGTTGAGCTAATTACACATTAACTGAAAACCATGCACCACCGGCATAGTTCGACTAAAACACATTCTCAAGTATTTTGCTTCAGAAAGATCGGTTGAAGGTTTTCCCAATACAGATTACAGAAAAATATATATAATATTGTTCAGAAATTATCCCAAATAAAATTAAATTCCGCCCAATTATATTCCTTTAATTTAATTGCGCGTTTTGATAGGAGCAAATTAAAACGGGCGATAACATCTATGTATGTATATCTATGTATAAATATATAATATTTTGTCCAGGTCATCAGATCTGCACCTCTCGTTCAAATTTCAAAGATGACCTGTAAATAAAAGGCTTGGACTGTAGATGTGGAATAGGGTTTTCCTTTGTAGAAAAGAGTTGCCACCTTTTAAAAAATGTAGTTAAAATTATTTAAAAAGTTAAATCAATTATTACAATATGGGTATGAATAGAAATGGGATTTAAAGAGTCTTAT